ACAGATATTTTAGTTTGTGTGACTGTCTCACTTGCATCACAGACTAAAGGATCTTCATCTCTCTCACCATCCTCTCTCTCTAAATGTGTGAAAACGAAATGAGAAAGCGAGTGTTTAAAGCAGAACACCATATGGTTTCTCTACTGTACGTGCTCTGTCCTCTTTTACGCCAAGGTGCTCCATTAGTGACCTATTGGACACTCTCCAGCAGCTTCAGTAATGGGGCTCTATTCAGGTGTATATGTGTGTATGTGCGCATGTGTGTGTATAATGAAGTTTCTGCATGTTTGATCACTGATTAAACAATCAAGCAACACAAGCACAATCGGCTGGCTCAGCCAAGCTAATTGCATTCCTAAGAAGATGATCCAAGCACAAGTCATCCAATCCTCCCTTCACGGATCAGACCTCATGGGCTGTCCTATCTGTGCGCATCAGTTTGTGTGCGTGCGTTGGTTGGCCATTGTGTTGTGCTTTGTGCCTGATCGCGTCTGTTTCAGTTTAAAGGCTCATTAAAACCGGTGCTATAAATAGATGCATATGTCCCCTCAGCTGCAGTGGTGCATTAAACGTGTCGGCTTTCTCTCGCTCTTCGGCTGTGTTGTGTCTGACCTATCCCGATGCGTTTGCTGTTCCTGGAGGACGTGGGAATCCCGATGCTACTGCACAATCCAGTATAGACTTGTCCACAGTTACATCAGGCTGAATGTGTCTTTCTCTCACATCTGTCCCCCAGAACACAGGTGCATGAGGCTGCTGGGAATATTTCAATACAAAAATAACACATGGACAAAGATTAGTGCACACAGGATGTCTGTATTTAGGCATCAAGGGCCTCTTTTCTTGTCTTTACTTGTTTCAAGGGTGCAGGTTTTCAGAGAAAAATGCGCATGTATGTTTACTTAGCTATACTTTGGGGACAAAGCTGTCCCCAGAAGCTCCCCTTGGGAATGCCCTCAAAGGTAAAATTATAAATATTTATTATAGTGAGGTGGGTAGGGTTATAGTAAGTCTGTAATGTTGTCTATAATGGTGTATCCTCATTTAGATGTTAGAGTTTTTAAACATTTTGGACTTAAAATATAATGACAGATATCTAATATAATGTATGAACATAAACAATTTATACAGAGAGAGAGAAAAAAATATTAAGTGTGATTAAAAAAGAATACATTTGCTTCTGTGCATTTTGTTATGTGTGTGTATATATATATGTATATACAAAAATACCAAATATATTATATTATCAATATATTATATTATCTGTAATTATCTATATTTCTATTTGAAACAAATGTTGAAATATGTATGTATGTGTGTGTGTGTATACTGTATATATATGTATACGTACGTATATGTGTGTGTAATCATTTTCATAAAATACAGCTTTATATTATTTCTTAATATATATATATATATATATATATATATATATATAAAG